ATTTTTAGTAGAGACGGGGTCTCGCTCTTGCTCAGGCTGGTCTCGAACTCCTGAGCTCAAACAATCCGCCCGCCTCGGCCTCCCAGAGTGCTATGATTATAGGCGTGAGCCACTGCGCCCAGCCCCTAGTTTTTCTATTTTTAGTAGAGATGGGTCTTGCTCTTGGCTCAGGCTGGTCTTGAACTCCTGAGCTCAAGCGATCCTCCTGCCTTAGTGTGAGCCACCATGTCTGGCCAATTCTTAACTTTTAAAAGGAAATGTTCTGCAGTGTTCTTTTAAAATAACAAATCTCCCTATAGTATTAAAATGTTATTTTTAAACAACTGTTTAGAATATATCTATTATATAAAGCTAAGTAAAACCAACTAGTCTTTTAACACTAAACACCTCCCTAAAGATCTTTACACCAGAGCTACCAATTAAGAAAAAAATTGACTTGAGCTTCACTGTATTCACAGTGATATTAGTAATGAAGTACTATACATAAAAGGCAGGAATCACCAAGAGAAACAAAGGTACCTACTTACAAACCAAATAATCATCCCCTAAAAATGGAATTGACTTTGTTGAATATTGTGTAGAGTGTGAAAAGTTTTTTGACATAGCAAATGTCTTGATTAAAACTACTTCCTAAATAGAATAGAAAATTGGTGTTTAGGTTTGTTTTCCTTGTACCTAAAATCAAAGAATGATTTTTATGTTTTCTCTTCAGGCAAATTTCAGGTGATGATACAGAAGCTGTAGAACATACTGAAATGCAAGGCTTCAACAGTGTAAAGAGATAAATTATTCATGTATAAAGTATTTTAAGTAGCAATTATTTAATTACAACGTTGGACATTTGTATGGGACTAAGAGTGTATTTTATCAGTTCAACACAGACCAACTCAAAGCAGATAAAGGAACATTCTGCCATGACATACACTTTACTGAAACTATTTAAAATGAAAATCTGATTTCAAACAACCAGACACCAAGATGTAGGACCCCTATTTTAAACATTTTTATTTGGTTAGAGTGATGTGTATGTAACCCCAGATGGAGAAGCAAGGCTCAGGGTTTGTTGAATTAGCATAAAGAAAAGTACACACCAACAGAATCATTTGTGTTAAGAATGAACAAATTTTGGTTAAGTCATGTTCCATATAGTCATGTTCCAAATTCCATGAATTCGTTTTAGTTATTTAAAAAAGCAAACAATATCCTAAATTAAATTAAGCTTAATTTTTATTTTATTGCTTATAATTTATTTCTATTAAGAGAATTTTATGCCTGTATAAGGATTTCAAATATACATATGTGTATATGTGTGTAAATACATATATGATTGCCTAAATTGCTTAAAAACTTAATTTCACTTTAATAGATTTCAGTCCCCTAGAATTCCATTGATGCAATTAAAGTGAAATATAGATTAGTTTAGATGTGAATTCAGTGACTCCAGGGCCAAAGAATATTAGGTATGTTGGGAAGGAATTTTTATGCTTATTTCTGTTGTAGTCTTGATTTTCAGCTTCTCTCCCCATGCATGTAAGTCCTGGTGAAGGTTCTAACATCTTTATCTTTATTCCCTATTTACTCTTCCACAAGGGCAGAGGGGTAGATAATTGGATTAGCCACATCTACATTCATTGGACCATATCTTCTTAGTGGTTTGGGGTCAGTGCTCATCTAGTGTCTTTCTCTTACCGCCTCTTCCACTTACTTTATCTTACTTAAATTATATGGCATAAGCAGGTATCTCCAAGCCAGCTTTTGTTAGAACTTTGCATATTGGAGTATCAGCACTTTGATTATTAAAACTGTACTTTGTTTCCCAGCTAATTATTACCCTTTCAGATATATTTGTTTGACAGGGAACTCTGCAGAAGGGAGTGATTGACACACCAAACAAGATGTTTCACTGGGTTCTCTACCATAAAAATGGCAGATTAAGAAGATAGACTTCTTATAATAAAATAAACCAAAAATTATAATAAAAACTGAAATTAAAACTATAAAAATTTACTTTAGGACATAAAGGAAAACTCAATTAAGTTAGAGGCATACCACTGTCCTTTCATAGAAAGGTGTGGTGTTACAAAAATATCTGTTTAACTCAGATTAATTTATTAAATTAAACTGTAGTCATGTTCCACATAATGACGTTTCAATCAACAATGGACCACATATATAACTGTGGTCCCATAAGATTATAATACCAGATTTTTACTCTACCTTTTGTTTAGATACAGAAATACTTACCATTGCATTACAGTTGCCTGCAGTATTCAGTACAGTAATAAACTGTATAGGTTTGTAGCCTAGGAGCAATAGGCTACACCATCTAGGTTTGTTTGAGTATACTTGATGATGTTTGCACAATGACACAATTGCCTAATGACACATTTCTCAGAACATATCCCCTTTGTTAATTGATATATGACTGCAATACTAATATTCAGATAATTTGGAAAAAAAATTCAGATTTGAAAAAATAAATTTAGGAAAGATTCTATCAAATATAAAAATTTAATATAAAGCTTAGCAATCAAAAAGGGTCACAATGACCCAGGAATAGCTAATGACACAGAAGTAGATCAAAGTGGAACAAAATAGGGATCTTCAAAATAAAATAGAAGTAGCAGTAGATAGGAATTGAGTGTGTGAGAAAGGTGATATTTCAAATAAGTGGGTTACACACTCTCATTTGCCTACCCATTAGCCATTTCTCTCTCCCTTCCTTGCTAAAAAACCCCATTTTTGTTTTCGTCTTTACCCTGTATGGCTGCCTTGTGCTGTTGAGTAGGGTGTTTGCTTAGTCCCAGAGGGTGAAATCTTGGCTAATGTGACAAATAGGGGAAGTGTGAAGGACTTGTGGAAAATTTTTTGTTCTTAAAAAACGGATACAAGATAGGTATTTGCCCCCTCCCCTTTTCTGCTTCTCAGTGAAGATATGTGATGATGGATATTTGGAGCTAATCCGTAACAGCCGTTTGCTGACCATGAAAGGACAAGCATGGAGATGAAAGCCATCACACTGAGGATAGCAGGATGCAGATAGAAAGCACCTGAACTGTGCTTCTGAATTAACCAATCCTGGAACTGCTTTACCTTTGGATTTTTTTGTTATTTGATATATTAAATTCCTTATATTGTTCAGGTAACTTTTGGTTGTATATTTTGTTACTTGTAGCCAAAAAGAAATCTCTCTGTAGAAACAAGGGGAGAGTTGGGGTTTTCAAAAAATTAATATGGGACATATGAACATCTTTTTCTGGGGAGGGGATGGTGGGGACAAACTTAAAGGTTTACATGTAAAACAATAAAACCATCAAGTACTAAAGAAAATAAGAGAATACTTTTGTGATTTTGTGGTGGTGAAGGCCTTTCCAACACACAAAAGTAGAAAATTATAAAGGAAAAGTAGAAAATCATAAAAGAAAAATAGTGAAAAAACTAATAACATCTCTTTAACAAATGGTGTTGGGAAGACTGGATATCTTCATGAAAAAGAATAAAATTGGATCGTTGTCTTTACACCATACATAGAAGTCAACTTAAAATGGATTGAAGACTTCAATGTAAAATCTGAAACTAAAATTCCTGGCAGAAAACATGGGGAAAAGTTTCATAACACTGGTGTTGGCAATGATCTGTTGGATACCAAAAGCACAGGCAGCCAAAGCAAAAATGGACAAATGGGACTACCTAAAACTAAAAAGTTACACAGCGGAAGGAGACAACAGAGTGAAAAGGCAACTTGTGGAATGGAAGAAAATATTTTCAAACAATGTACAGTCAACCCTTGATATGTAAGGATTCCTCATTCAAGGTTTCAACCAAGTGTGGATCAAAAATATTGGGGGGAGGCCGGGCGCGGTGGCTCACGCCTGTAATCCTAGCTCTCTGGGAGGCCGAGGCAGGCGGATTGTTTGAGCTCAGGAGTTCGAGACCAGCCTGAGCAAGAGCGAGACCCTGTCTCTACTAAAAATAGAAAGAAATTATTTGGACAACTAAAAATATATAGAAAAAATTAGCCGGGCATGGTGGTGCATGCCTGTAGTTCCAGCTACTCGGGAGGCTGAGGCAGGAGGATTGCTTGAGCCCAGGAGTTTGAGGTTGCTGTGAGCTAGGCTGACGCCACGGCACTCATTCTAGCCCAGGCAACACAGTGAGACTCTGTCTCAAAAAAAAAAAGGGGGGAGGGAAACCCAAAATTAAAATACAATAAAAAAATGCAAGTTAAGAAACTACAATATAACAACTATTTACATAGCACTTACAATGTATTAGGTATGAATAATCTAGAGATTATATGGGAAGGATGTGTGTAGGTTATATGCACGTGGTATCCCATTTTATATCTGGGACTTGAGCATTTTCAGATTTTGATATGGTGGGGAATGATTCTGGAACCAATACCCCATGGATATTAAGGGACCACTGTATCTTATAAAGGGTTAATCTCCAAATATGAATCCTATAACTCAATAGCAAAAAACATACAACCTGATTAAAAAATAGGCAAAGGACTTGAATAAACATTACTCCAAAGAATGCATACTAATGGCCAACAGGTATATGACAAGATAATATCACTAATAGGGATGCAAATCAAAACCCCAATGACACACTAATAGTCTTGACTTAAGCATTATACAAGGTATCCATGTAACAAAAACATTTGTACCCCTTTAATATTTTGAAATAAAAACACTCATGATGTGGCAAAGTAAACATGCTCTGTTATCATGCTAAAAAAAAAAAAAAACCCAATGAGGCAGCACCTCACAGCTCTTAGGATGGACATAATCAAAAGGAAAAAGAAAAGTAAGAAGTGTTGGTTAGGTTGTGGAGAAATCTGAACCCTAGTGCACTGGTAGGAGGAATGTAAAATGATATAGCCGCTATGAAAAACAGTATAGAGTTTCCTAAAAAAAATTAAAAATAGAACTACCTTATAATCCAGCAACTCCTCTTGTGGGTATGTAGGGTCTCCAGCTTCCCCGGCTTTTTCTCTGTCCTGAGAATCGGTGCCTTCACAGCTGTGACTCCAGCAAGCTGCATGTTTTCACCTGCAGGCTTGAACCGAAGCCGGGGCCTTGAATATTCCCAGGCACTGATAAAGGTTTTTAGGTTGTTACCCAAAACACTGAAAGAAAGTAGCACCAACACTGAGCCAAATTACTTAAACCCTCATACAAACTTCGTATTCCTACCCCCTCATTGCGGACATACCCAGGGAGAATGTCCCTTGTCTTGCTGGCCCCTGTAAGGATGCGTGCTGCAACCTCCTCTGCAAGTTCCCTGTTATAAATGCTTTGGAATGAGCACCTTTGGGTTTAGTGCTTTTCTTTGAAATCTCAACCAGCCTCATCTGCAGATGGTTTAGGGCAATCCCTTGTGGGAAATCCCCTGCCACGTCTTTTGGGGTGACTGCAGCCTTGAGTTTGGCCAGGACGAAATGTTATTTATACAAAAGAATTGAAATTAAGATTTTTTTCTTTTCCTTTTATTGAGACAGAGTCTCACTGGGCTAGAGTGCAGTGACATCAGCCTAGCTCTCAGCAACTTCAAACTTCTAGGCTCAAGCAATCCTCCTGCCTCAGCTTCCTGAGTAGCTGGGACTACAGGCATGCACCACCATGCCTGGCTAATTTTTTCTATTTTTAGTAGCGACAGGGTCTTGCTTTTGCTCAGGCTGGTCTCCGACTCCTGAGCCCAAGCTATCCTCCTGCCTTGGCCTCCCAGACTGCTAGCATTACAGGCGTGACCCACCTAGTGCCCCGCTGAAATCAAGATCTTGAAGAGATATTTTCACTTTCATGTTCGATGCAATGTTCACAATAGCCAAGAAGTGGAAACAACCTAAATTTCTACGGATGAATGGATAAAGAAAATGTGGTATATACATACAATGGAATGTTATTCACCCTTAGAAGGAAATCTTATCTATGCTTCAATGTCAATGAAACTTGAGGACAGTGTGCTGAATAAGCCAGTCACAGAAGGACAAATATTGCATGATTTCACTTATATGAGGTATCTAAAGTAGTCAAACTCATAGAAGTAGAAAGTAGAACTGTGGTTGTTAGGGGTTGGGGGAGGGTGAAGAAGAAATGGGAGTTGTTCACTGGGTATAGAGCTTTAGT